AGTGCGAGATTTTTTTTTTTTTTTAGTTTGTTTTAATTTGTTTCCTTTTGAAGTAGGGCAAAAAACACTGACTAGTTGAGTTTTGGTGGTGGTGGGTTTTATTATTATTTTTTTTTAATTATTTTTCTCCTGAGTAGCAATATAGTGTTACTTGCAAGGCTCAGAAAAGTGTATTTAGAAAGTCTTATCTAGACTGTTGCTTTTCCTTATGAAGTTTTCACTGTTAAACATATATTTTGCTATTACATATTTTCTGTTTCAAATGCCGTATTTTAGTTATTTGTATATATTTTTTTCAGTAACGCTAGAATTATTAAAAATGTGTTAATGTTGGCTATGTGGTAACAGACTAAGGGTCCAGGAAATGTTGAAAAAATATTTCCAATGCCATTTGCACACACAGGAAGTTTTTTTGATATAACAATATATGACGTGTAAGAAAATGGAGTGTTATCCCTTTACATATTTCCTGGTAAGGATGTTAGATGATCATAGAATCACAGAATGGCTTGAGTCGAAGGGATCTGAAGGATCATCAAGCTCCAACCACCCTGCTGCAGGCAGGGCTGCCAATCTCCATATCTAATACTAGATCAGGCTGCTCAGGGCCCCATCCATTCTGTCCTTGAACACCTTCAGATGATGCATTTGTACCATCATTTACTGGTGTCTTTTATTCAACCGAGTCTTCTACTGTTCTGTTTTTTAATAGTTTCATGCAGTTTGGGAAAACACAGGTTCATGAAATGTGAATTTTCTCAGTAATTAGTAAGTCAGGTGCATTAGCTTGTTGTTGGCAAGATTTTTTTACAATGTGGTTATAAGTTTAAAAAACTGTTATGAATTTTCTAATGAATTGATAATTTTTATTAGGAAAGTTTCTGTATGTAGCCTTAAGAATGTGGATTTGCATTAGGCATTATTGCAATCTTAAGCAGCTAATCTGAGTTCCTGAGTGACAAGGCTACTCAATAGCCAGTACGAGAGTTGAATTTAACTAAATCTAGCAGTTGCAGCTTTAGATTTAACAGGCATTGAATAGCATTCAGCTGCTAATTAATTTACAGTCCTGGTCCAGCTTTCACCAAAATAAGCAGTTTTTCTATCAACATCACATTGAAGTGGATGAGGACATTCACACTTTCTAAATAGGATAGTAAAGCTTTTGTATATGCCCAGTAGAGTTTAAAAGCTTATACATATTGTCACGTAAAGCGTTAAATAAGTCCAAACTGCCTAAGGGTCAGAGAAAATAGTAGGATTGGTATACCTCATATAAGTATATATCAGGAAAAAGAGAGGTTTAAAATTAAAAAAAAAAAAAAAAAAAAAAAAAAAAAAGAATTTTTAAAAAGAGGACCATACGTAAACATCCCTAGTAATGTCACTTCTGTGCGTGTATGTTTTCAGAGTTTGTTTCTGCAGGGAAATAATTTTCTTTAGTTAAATCTAAAGTACTTCAATGACACCCCAGCAAACTTCCGTTTTGCTTTTATTATAATTGGATTTATGTCAAGGAAAAGCATGAGGACTGGGGAAGGTAATGTGAAATTTCTACTAATTAAACTGACAAAGGCCTTATTTCCTTTTTGGAATGAGAGATTAAAATATTGTGGCAGCAGTGAGCATCAAAAAAAAACATACAATCTGTGGGATTTTATAGAAATTCTATTTGTAACTGATTTTTATTCTTGTTTAAAAGTGCTTAAAATACAACTCAGTGTTCCTAAATGTCATACGTAAGGTTTACTAGTAATTAAATGGTGTAGCTACCAAAAAGTGCTATTCTTGGTTACATTTATCTTCTGAGGACAGTACAGTTGTGCAATAAACGGTACAATTCTGAAAGGCAAATCTGTGCATTTCTAGGATATTAATAATGCTTACAGAATAAATATAGAAGCTACTGTTTACTGGATAATTTATTCAATTAAGCAGTTGTTCCATCTTCCAGTTAAGTGATTTCCAATTAAAAAGTTGTCCTATTTAGACACTATAATAAATTATAAATTAAAAATTTGTACACTAAGAATTTTATTTTTCAAACACTTAAGGTTTATTGTAAAATAAAATGCAGTTGAAAATATTACATCTATTTCTAATGGATGTGTATTATTTGTAACCATGCTGTTTTGTCCCTCACCTGATCTGAAACTTATTGTACAGGTATTATAGTTATAAATTCCTGGACATCCAAAATCATAACACCAAACACATACAGGTGTTGTTTTTATATTGTTTTGGTATTTGTAGAATCTCACTCTGGTCTCAATTATTTGCTAGAAATACATTTTATACCACTTTGGATTTCTCTCTCTTTGAAATCACATTCGTCCTCTCCTTTTTCTTCTTTATTTTTTAATATTTATTATGCCTGGAAGAATTTAAGTATGGGCACTATGTGTAATGTAATTCACAGTGTGTAAATACATTCCTTTGATCTGGAAAAGTGCGCTTCACAGACAGTAATTGCTCATCACATTCTATCACAGAATCACAGTATGGCCAGGGTTGGAAGAGCACTCAAGGATCATGAATCTCCAATCCCCCTGCCACATGCAGGGCCACAAACCTCCACGTTTAATGCTAAACCAGGCTGCCCAGGGCCCCATCCAACCTGGCCTTGAACACCTCCAGGGACGGGGCATGAAGGGGATGAAGAATCAATTTATCTCAGTTTTATCAGTAAGACCTGATGTAGCCATTGAATATTCTACAAGAATGCCCAAGAGAAAAGATATTTTTAAGTTTTCCCAGACCAAGCTTTGCAAAAATTTTTACCTCTTTATGAAAACTGGCCTTGTATTTTGCACTTGTTCCTTATGAAGGGCCTAGGCCACAATGATTGAACAGGCTCCTTCAAAATATTTTTACTTAAAATAGCAGTGAAATAATTGCAGTAAGAATTCAGGCTTCACAGCAAAAAAAAAAAAAAAGAAAAAAAATCAGAAAAAATTTGATCATTCTGCAGTTCAGGGATCGAGATGTAAATAGACATCACTACTTTTAAGTGAGCATTCCAGAAAAGAAACATTTTTTAATGCCAGAATTTTATTGTCACTTCATTTCCACTGTATCAATGGCGTTTTGATTCAGTAATCTGTGAAATGAAACAAACAAAATTGAAAAATGCAGATAAAGACCATTCAGTCAGATACTGTGATATCACAAAAAAATAATAAGATTTGATAAATGATGCCCATGGGAAGAGTATTAATACATACCTTTGGCCTTTCCTCCACAAAAAAAAATCTTTTGCTTAATGTGAGTAGTGCTTTCAGTCCGTGTAAGGTTACTTCATTCTTTCTAATGGCAGGCACCCATTAAATAAATGAAATACTTTCCCGCAAATTTCATTTTGGTATGACTGCATTTTCACCAAGAATAATGTCACCATACATTGCTGTGACAAGAAAGAAGCAGTAGCTTCTTCCCTGTAGCTCCTGGTACCTTCTTCATATCGGCTACCTAAATTTCCAGCTACCTAATAATTCATGTCTAAGAAAACCAAACACCCTGAAATTTGTATCTTCTGATGTTTCAGAGACGGTGCTGAATGGAAAAGTTGACTGACCAAGTGACAATCCATCATCCTCTATGTAATTCTAAACCATTTGTGATGCACGCCATCAGAGATGCCATGCTGGCCTCTCATCTACTATGAAAATTGTATTTTGCGTAATTTTCTTTTTAATGGAAATTGAAATTATTTAATTATTTAATTATACATACTGTTTTTCAAATGTTGTTTCTCTTTCTGTGAAATTGAAATTTGTATAACTAGGGAAAAAATATTCGTAAGTACCAAGAATCAAAACGTTAATGATATGAAAAATTAAGTGTTTTCCTCTTATGTGATAAGTCAAGGCAAACTATGCAAAATCAAGTGAAATCAGTAAATTCTTCTATATTGGCTGCTGTGTTGCGTGCTGATGAGCTAAACCAGTGGTCCATTCTCTTTTGCGTGTGTGGCAGCTCAAAGAAATGTGATGCAATAGAAATTACAGAACTCATTCACAAGGGACTTCCCTGCATCTGAGCAAGAGGTTGACTTTTGTTTGAAGGCAATATGGTGTAACCATACAGGTTTCTTAGTAACAAAACCGTGGCTCTGATTAGTTCCCAGATTGAGGTCTGATCCTGTTCTAAGATGTGACTAAGTGATTCTTCATGTAGTCAGGGAAATACAAATGGCAGGCTTTCGTCATTTGGTCAGACAGTGCAACCTATGCCTAATGCTGGCAGGCATCATCTCTTGAGATCTCTCCTCCCAAAGGACCCTGCAGGCAAATAGTATTGTGCTGCGTAAAAGGCATCAGTTGTCCCACACTGGGTGTGATGACTTTGAATCCAGAGCTCCCCAAATGCTTTTTCACTATATAGCTGCATAACTCACTATTCCTGTGAATGTTCCTTTTGCATCTCAAAGGAAGAAGGTGGAGAAACAAATTTGGAGCTAACCTTTTGTGTACTAGCAGGCAGTCACATCTCATAAGGGGCTCAATGTCTATGAATGTTTGACGGTGATTTCTCTGTTCTATGCCTACATTGATTTTAATATCTTGTTTAAAATAACAAAATCGTGTGCTTAATTAGAAAAAGAAGTGAGATAAATGAACAAATTAATTAAATCTTTGAACATCATTTTTTCAGAATAATACTGTGGCACAGTTGTAAGTACATGCATGGAATTACTTTTCTTCTGGCACAGAAATTAAAAAGTAAACTTGCGTTCATACAAATGGTGCAGACTCAAGTTCATACATAAAAATACACATTTTCTTTGGGGAAAATAGTATCCTTTTGTCTTTTGGCAATCATTTCTGAATCAAATTATGTATGTTACCCATGAAGTTTACATTTTTCCTCTCATGTGCTGCGTGAAAAATTATGGGATGAAAAGTTACAATGTAATTTTTTTAAATTTTATTAAATATTAATAAATTTTAATATATTAAAAAGCCAAGATTACATTCGCTTTTTCTTCTTTATTCCCACAGGCACAACGGCTAACAGATCTGGAACAGAAACTAGCAGCTGCAAAAGATGAATTGGAAAAGGCAGCCCTTGACAAGGTGAGAAGTGTGACATGATGCAAGCGTGTTTATTAGCTGTGAATGTTTGTACATAGCTTGACAAAAACAAGTGAAAATATTGCAGAAGTTTAGGTGTGTGTTTAACAGCACGCACTCGGCTTAAGTCAGTGGAAATAATCATGTTGTGTGATGTTAAATAAAGCTGCAGATTTTTTAAGAAGATGTCAACGGTTTATGGGCTGGCTTGGCCCAGTTCCGTGACCAGTGGGGCGGAGGGATCTGCAGATCCACTCCTCCAGGAAAAAAAAAAGTTACAGGGGACCCCAAAATAATTAAAAACAGCAGCAACGATCTGAGGAGAAACAAACTAATTTACTAAATACAGTATCGGAATGCAAGATAACACACTATAATACAATATAATTAGAATTGAAGCTAATCAAACATAATGAGAGAGAGAGAGAATGTCTGAAAGGTGGATATCTCACCATAAAGCTGAGATACGCAGTCCAATTGAGCAGCAGGGAGACAGGGGCAGCACCCTCGACGAAGAGCAGATGAAAAAGAACGCATCAGGTGACCTTGCCAGGAGTTATATCTCCTCTCCGTGGCTGCAAAGTCCCCTTGGGAATGTAGTTCTTCTCTTCTGGGCAGGTACCCAGGACTTGAGCATAAAACCATGACAGAAGAGAAAAATCAGGTTGAAAAGGTCTCAGAGGCTTCTAAAGAACTATTACCTTTTCACTAAAGCATTTTTCTGGTTGTCAGTACCACAGTAACTGAGGATTTACCTCCAAAATTTCTTCAACTTAAACAGTAATCACAGAAGCATTATCCAAACCTGTGTGCATTGCTGGCCATGTAGTAGTTGTTTCTTGCAAGTACATTCAAGTGACCTGCTCCTCATATTAATTGGGTAATTAAGTGTGTTCACTTTGCACGTGCATATACACTCACAGGCATGCTCTCTCACTAGTGCCAGTTGCTGTCTAGTGCAATGACAAGGGGAGAATACTTGGAAAAAAAGTCTTCTAAATGTACCGTTTCATTATAATGTGGACAGCTGTGAAGGAGAAAGCAAAAAGCATTTGACATCAGGAATTTCTAATGAGTAGTAAACCAGTCTGCAAATTAAATGGGGGCTTGCAGCATGCTCAACTGACTTCTCTGACCCTATGTTTCTTTCCTAGTAAACATTATGGAATTTTAATTTATGCTAGGTTATAATTCTTCAGGTTTTTTCCAGAGGACTGGCATCATCTTCTGGTAAATTACCGTTGAGAAAATCCATGGATGGCATCAATAGTTCTTTTGGTTTAGGGGGCATGGTGGTGATGGAATGAGTTGAAGGTTGAACTCAATAATCCTACCGGTCTTTTCCAAGGTTTATGATTCTGTGATGAGAAAGAGGCATGGAAATAGAGAATGAAAAGTGCAAAGCTCATAAATGTGGAATTGTGAAAAAGCTCTTTGAGACGCAGTGCCCATGCTTATTCTCCCTGCAGAATAGTAAGATCATTTAAGTTTTCAAATACCTTTTCTGCCCTGGTCAAGAGTTTTTCTCTGTGAACTAAAAACAGTTGGAGATTTGTGCAGTGAAGACGTTGACGAAGTTAGCATGTGCAGTAGGAATGGGGTTGATGTAGAGAGAACAGTGTTTTTTCAGAACATGAGCTGTACTGGAAAAGATTAATTGAGTAACCGAGTCTCAAAACGTGACTATAAATTGGCATAGAACTGTATTGTACTTTTGGGAGGGTATGAAACTTCTGTTTTTAATATTTGCTTTAAGTATTGTTTGTGCAGACAGAAGATTTAATGTCTCACATTTGTGTATTCGCACTGCAGCATTTTTCTAACTCCCATGATGGGATCCTGGGAAGCCTGCCATTTTTTGTTTTGCTACAGCCCCGTTTGTTCTATACTGAGTCCAACTCTGTCTCGTCTCAAGAGTATAAGGAGGAAAACATAAAGACATGCATATCATCTTGACAGTATTTATGACTGGCCATAGCCATAGCAAAGCAAGCATTGAAGGACAGGAGAGGGGGGTGAAAGGATAAGTAATTATCTGGAGGAAATTATCTGGAGATAAATTTCTGAGGACCAACACCTCTACCTTAACTTCTTCCTGGGGTCAAGAGTCTACTTATCTCTGGAAGACTCTGGAAGAGCCCTTTTTATAAAAGCTTCCCTACGAAAGTAGTAGGGAAGTATTCCCTACTAAATGTTTGCTGATTTTTCTCAGAGCCTCTCAATTATAAGATACATTCCCTATTTGAATTTAGTGGAGGTTTATCTGACATAAAACATAGGATCTAACAATACTTATTTAGCAAGTAAACTAAAACAAGATTTTGTGTACCGTATCTCATTGTTCATGATTCATATTTGTGAAATATTTTTAACATTGTATACGTAATATTTGAAAAATGTAGCATGCACTATTTTACATATGCGTGTATTTTCCATCAGCTTTAGTCATGATATGCCTCAGAGTCCTTCAAAAAAATCTTTAAAGGCCAAAATGTGTGGTTGTATTATGTGTTTATAGGTAGATTTTTAATACAAAGAACAAAAGCAAGATTTTTTTAAGGCCAAATGCTGTTTAACTCCCCTGAGACAAGTGTGATGAAGGCAATAAATAATATTTGATTCTCCAAACGACTTGCAGTGATTGAACAAAGATTTTAAAATGGGATCTCCTCAGTGAGTAGTTATCTCACTGCTCTTATTGCCTCAACTTTGTTCAGTGTCAGACTGCTGCTTTCATGAGTACCTCTTTATTTATGAGTAAAACAGCAGTATTATGGCTCAAGCTACAGACACTATCGTGTAATTATGAGAACAATTCACCAATTAAAAGGTGTAGATTGGCTTAAAGTACAGTAATGGATGTGGACAAATCACAGTCTTAACAGGTTGGAAGTCCTGCTATACAGCATAAAAGCATAATAGGCACATGTATATACATGAGTGTAGTTATCCTTCTGTGGGATTAAAATCAGTCTTTATAATGTAGAAAAATACTAATTAACCTGAACATTATAGGCAAAATTCCATGCAAAGTCTATGTCTTTGCAGTACTTACAAGTGTCTACTTCTCTCTACTAAATATTATATGTAAAAATTTGGACATGATGAGATTTGGTAGGTGGTATATTTGTTCCTTTAATGATAAAATAGAATTCAGTAAGTATTTGCAATAACCAATATAGATTGGATTCAGGGATGAAAGGGAACAATGCAAGAACTTTTTAGATATTTTGGTGTATAGTGCACAGTAACTTAATATAAAAAACACATAATTCTGCTAGTAGTAATGGAAAGAAATAGCAGCTGTTATTTGTAAATGTTAGCCTTAATACAAAAAGATAAAGCAAGTGGCTCCATTCGTAATAACAATCTCAGAGAAGTGATGTTTTCTTGTTTTCCCCAGGATTCACAGCTGAAAGCTCTCAAGGACACTGTGAAGCTTTGCCTGTCCTCCGTTCTGCGCAATCAACCTACTGCTATACATCGAATCCCTTCAACAGAGAAGCTGACATCCTCAGCTACAGAGGGCTCAAAAGTTCAATTTCCAGTAATAAGCACCAAGGTATTGTATCTCCCTCACTCTTTTTTTTTCAAGTATCTGTGAGAGTTTGTCCTGTAAGAGCATCAAACTGGAACTAAGAAGGATTCAAAATTCATTGCAAGATTAGGATGAATTTTAAGCCAATTCTAATAATTCTAAGCCAAATTTTGGTATCAGTAAAGTTTCACAGTGTTGGGAAATGAGTACTTTTATTTGCTGAGAAGCAAAATTCCATCTATTGCTTGCTAAATGAGCTGTGTCTGCATAATAAATCTACGAGGAAGATGGATTTACATCTAAAACAAGCAAGAATGGAAATTCATGGGATTATTTACCTGCCAGGCACTGATAATGTGTTTGTGGTACTACAGCACTGAACAGTGAGGCACTTTTTGTTTTTCACAAAAAAAGCCATGACAAAGGCCAATATAGAAGAGTAAAGCAGGTTGGTACGTTCAAACAGAATTTGCCGAAAGGGCTGCAATAATAGGCCAGGGAATATTTGATTTGCAGAATACATCCAGGAAATAGGAACAACAGTTCAGGAGTAAATATGATTAAAGAACTGGTTTCTAAAGCATTCTGATTCTATAAGTGAAAGCATTTTATCACAGTTGAGATATACAGTGATAGACGGATATTCAGATAATTTCCATCTCCAGGGTTGCATTTTGCTCATCTATTCATGTGATTCAGTACATTTAGACTGAGTCTAAGGAAGAAAATTTTACAGCAGGATGGTGGAGCATTTGTTTCATTTTTCCCTTAAATTCTACAACTCTTTTGTGAAATATAAAAAGAGATTGCCGACTCACTGTCAGTTTGTAATTTTTTATAGCAGCTGTTGATATGCGCCATTAGTACAGAGATTGAAGCCAAAAATCAGAAATCTTTCTCTATGTAATTAAAATTGAAATGTAATGTCAGAAAGTTGAATATGATTATAAAGCTGGATCTCATGTTGCTTCTCTTACCATATTGATTGTAGGTTCATTAACTATTTCAAAGTGAGAAGTCTTCATTTCGTAAACCATTACCTCCAGAAAGAAACCAGCTTATTATTTAGTAACAGCCCATGAGGATATTAGACCTCACTTAGATTAAAACAACTGGTTCTCCATTCTGAAGAAGGATGGACTCAAGGATATGCAGACTGAGATTTCAGGAGCATGTAGTCCCTGGCACAGCAAAGGAATACAAGTAGAGTTTGGAACAGAATTTATGACATTTGATTGAAAAACAAAATTATCTCCATTCTTTTTCCAGTCAACAATCAAATTGATTTTATGTTTAATGTTCCAGTTTATGAAATATAGCAATATTTCTATATAGCAGTCTGAGTTCTTTGTATCACAAGAGTGCTTGAATAACTTATGCTCCCGCTTTAATAGACATTGCTCACATTTCTCTGCACATGGCATATGCCATGAAAACATCTGCAAAAATGATGGTTCTGAGTCCTGCTCTTCCTCACACTGACACCTCATTATTATAAATCTGTGCATTATCTGTGATTATAAAACCACTGAAATCTGCTACTGTAAAATAGGTTGTCAAGTCAGCATAGCCAGTCCAGAATGTCTGCATTTAAGCCTTATTATGGAAGGCATTTTTCTTATTTTTTTTTAAAGAATAATATCCATTCTCATGTATCTTTTCCTTGTTTTTTTTTTTTAATCTTGCAGACTAAGTCAATCTAACTACATTGTTCTAACTACAGTGTTCTTTCTCTGTCACATTTGCATAAATATTTTAATATACCAGGCTCGTATTCTGGTAAGTGTAATTGTGTTTGATTATTTTTCCTACGTGAAAATGAGAAATTCATATGAGCATCTTGTAACTGAGATGCAGTTGAACTTTGAGGAAAGAAATTATCAGTTGTCTGGTAAATACCTTCTAAGATATTCTCATCCTACATAAGAAGTTTATTCTAAAATGGTCACATTTATTTTAAATTCATGGAAGTGTATGACATCTGCATTACTTAGATATGCAGTCATCTGTGAGGTTGGGGCACTTCTCACTAAAAACAGTGGCAATAAGAAGGTTGTATTTTTGTATTGAGAGCTGGAAATCACAAAATGAGTGCTTGCTAGAGAAGATGTTTAAGATAAGAACATGATGCAGAAAGGATAATTAGGAAAATAAATTTCCAAATTTCTTGTGAAGGTTCATTATAAAGATTTGATTTGCTAAAGTGTCATTTTTTTCTTTCAAGAGACTGTAAGATAAAGAAACGCATAGAGATTCAAAAATTAGTGCATAAATGCACATAAATCACTAAAATCAAAAGTTTAGTTCCCTTGAACTGATTAATAGTAGTGCATTTTGCTACACCTTACCATGTACAATTTACAAAAATATAGAGAGAAGGCACTAATATTTCAGACAAAAACCATTTTACCTATCCTGTAGCCATCATAACACAGATTTCACTCGTGAAAGCACTTCCCAAAGGCTGTCTGCATGTGAATTCATTGACACTAACATCTCAAAGGAAACCCCACAAAGGAAAAAACTAAGAAAGGTGGTCATTAATCCTGAACTATGAGGTCTTGATCTTTCTAGATTGTTGACAATTCTTTGTATTCCATAGTTTCTTTTCATACCATAATGTCCCAGCTAGTAACTTTCTGTCTCCTGGAAGTGGAGAATGCTCCCAAATGTGTTTGGAGTTGCCAAATGCAACAGCTGCAGCTGCAACTGTCTTGTGTCATCCCTGTGACACACTGGGGAGAAGGAAGAGGGCTAGAAATCTTTGAAAGGAAGACTTCTGATCTCTAGATGACCGCCTAAGGACTCAAAGCTTTACAGCCATTTAGGTACATCTAGGTAGATTATCATTAATGGATGAAAATCAACTAGGCTACCTGCTATGGGGAGCATGGGTTGGGATCATCTGTGAATCAGAGTACTGGTATTGACATCCAATTGAGGCCTCTTCTGTACTAACTGTAGCTTGGCATATAGAACAACTCTGATGTTTTAGATGTGTTTTCAAGTATATGGATTCACTAGGTGGAATGCTTTCTTACTCAATTTGTTCTAATTTTCCTTTCTGGAAAAGGGTAGCATTACACTTAAATTAATACATTTTTTATAATGATGGCTATCATTCAAATATCTTTGGCTCTTTGGCTGCGCAGTGTAAATATACCTGTGCCCTAAATGCAAAGAAAAAATGAGCTTGAGTCATTCAGAATATTAATGAAAATGAAGCAGAAAAACAGCTTCTATTTGCAGTAGCAAGGTTGAATACACAAATAATGGGCAGTGCAATTAAAAGAATAGCAGAATAATGGCAACTAGTTTTCTCTAGGGTGTTTTTGTCTAACATTGTTTTACATATTCCCCACATAAATTCCTTCATAAATGCCCTGTGGTTTTGTGTGTTTTGTGGACTGCAGTGTTCTAGGAGTAGAAATAGCCAAGAATTTCAAACTGTGAAGAAGAAAATAACAGCCCCCTAGTCCCCTACTGCACATGGCTGGAATGAAAGACCACCAACAAACACCATGTGTGTCCAAGTCCTGATAGAGGAAATAGGCTGAAGAATGAGAACTGCCCTTCTGTAGAAATGTAGGGGAACTATCATTCCGATGTTGCATTTGTGAATATATTTTGAAAAGATTTAAAAATCTACAAGAAGTTACATTTTCCTGGTAGTAACTGCTGCAAGAGCTGTTGCCTCTGCTTCTATTGCTGTGACTATTATAGGTACCAGTATACACTGATCAATGTAAAAAATCCAGAAAAGTAGGAAGTGTGGTGGCCCATCTTTCTTTCATCTAGAAATAATCATGCCCAATCAAAATGAGATCAGGTAATGTTATATCAGTATTAAGCCCACAGAAGTGTTCTTGTGGGGTGCAAAGGAATGAGAGCTTGTGAAACTCTTCAGAGAAGGTACAGGTCTGAAAATGTGGTCACTCTGAAAAGCATTTTGGAATGGTCATGTAGTAACTCAAGAGCATGATTTATTGTGTTAGTATGTCTTAGTATTCAGGTTAAACATAAGCTTACTGTTAGTTTGAGAGCATAGATACTGAGCCTCTACTGCAAATACTGAGCAAGGTTACTGAAAGCAGAAGATGATGTTACTGCCTGTGCTTCTTTACAAATTTTATCTGGGTTTTAGATTTTCCTTTGTGGGGGATTTTTTTGGTAGCTGTTTCTTTGTTCTGTTGCTGGTTGTATTGGTGTTTGTTTTTATTGTTTTGTTTTTTGTAGTTGTTGAGTTTTTGTATTTGTGGATGTCATTTTTTTAATCTAGAAATGATCTATTTGTGAAATCAGAATATTTATTAGGCTCTAGGACTTATTTCATTCTACAAAGGTAGAAACGATTGATAGAATGATTCTCTATGAAATAATAAGTAGTTAAATATTTGTACTGAATACCAGTTATAGAAAAATCTCATATCATATCATTGATAATACTGTATAATGATAACTGACTAGAAATGTAGAAAGAACTTATGATTACATGCTTACATTTCTTCAAATGCAGAAATATTTTGAAAGAATAAAGATGGATTAGGAATGTGTAAGTTGGTTCCAGCCCATGTTTTTGAAGACAGAACAGAAAATTTTTTAGTCATTTTAAATTACTATATATTACAGCCTAGAAAACTGATATAATACCTTCAGATTCATGAAAAATTAGCCAGCTGAATATGGAAATATATTATATTTTGCTGTAGGTCAAGAAAGAAACTGTATTCTCCTGGATGAGGAGCTACAAGATATGGTTTACTAGCTTGTGGTAGCAATGGTAATGGATGGACTAGATGATCTTTTAGGTCCTTTCCAACCTTGAGATTCTATGATTCTATGAAGTTAAATGAGAACAAATTACACAAGAAAGTAGTCTGTTTTCTAAAATTAAAGCTATTACCAATCTGGTCGTTTATCATGATATTCCAGTTTAAATGAAGGTTCAGACCTTGAAAAAAAAAAACTTGCATATTCATTGCTCAAGAACCTATGAAACAACAATAATACAGCTATGAATTTAT